GAATCACAATCCGACACCAAACGATGGTCAACACAAGTTGCCAATCTCAATAGGAAAGAACAAACCGCACACACTAGCATTTCAACATCAAACTAGCATGCTCATCAAACGAGTAAACCAAAAGTAGTTCCAAAGAACATTCAAGACTCATCATTAGTCCAACGAATCACAAGGTTGGACCCTTAGCACGATTCAAGACACCAAATCCTACATGGATTCCTAACATACCGTTCTAGACATACGAAACATCAAGAAGACTCACAAATAGCCCAATAAAACAACATTGGGAGGTCAAAACATTAATACCGAGTCAAAAGAATCACGGGGAATAAATCCCCACCACAACCCATACACATTCCCCGCGGGTGGGGCCACGGGTGGACCTCCGCCTGCGGTTCCACCCGCGGGTACACAAACCCACGAGCTTCGTTCCTCGCGGGTGCGGCGACAGGTAGGCCTCTGCCCTCCATTCCGCCCGCGGGTCCACCCTGTACACCAACATAATCCCTTCGGGGATTTTCAACAACAAGTCCAAATTCATGTCCAAAACACCCAAAATCTCTCACAAAACAACAATATAACTTGAACCCAAGAAATAGCCAAGCAATGGCATTCAAGAACCCTAATAACAAGCTCTAAACATGCATCACCACAAGATAATGCATCAAATCTCACATTTCAACCCAAGAATCACAAGTAGAAGCCAAGAATCATCATATAAGTAAGAAAATAGGTTTTGTAAAGCATGGGTTACCTTTGTAGCCTAAAACTTCACTTTCTCACCCTTAGAAAGCCTTTCCTAAAACTCTTCTTCCACATCAACTTCATAAACAAACCAAAAGACAACAAAGATTCTATTTTTAGAAAAAGATATCTCAAAGGGGGTTAAAAAAACCAAAAGATCAAGGATCTTGCCCTCCCCTATGCTCAAGATTAAGAAAGTAGGAATCTTGGAAGACAACTTGCAAGATTTAAGATGCCCAAATTTTAGCTTGGAGAAAAAGCTACCTGTAACACCCCTAAAATTTAAAACTTTGAATGCTTATGAAATAAAGGCAATACTATCATTAAATCCCGAAACAGAGCAAAACTAAACATAAGTGTTAGGGTGCTATGCCACATCTGAGGTGGAGAACTCAGATGCACAGGCTAAACTATCTAAACATCAGAAATCCTCGAATCAATGTCAAGTACATCATCATGGCTCGCAGGCCGATAAGGAACTAAACTAACTAAGCCTCGGGTCCTCTAACGCGCTCCGGAGCTACTCATCTGTGCCTAAAAGCCAAATATATCTGTTCAGCGAATAATGCTGGTAACCCACTCTAACGCGTTAAAATACAATATATATATATATATATATATATATATATATATATATATATATATATATAGAATTACATTCAGGTGAAAACATCCCTTTGTGTAGAAACCTGTGGACTGATCTTGGCCTTTCAATTTTGCTAATGGATGGCTGAGATTCTCGCGCAGGTAAGTGGCTTTTTTTAATGTGTTTTTATTTTAAGGGGGGTAGTTTGGGTTTTTTGCTAGCCATTAAAACCTAGTCAGATTAGGTATGTTTTAGTGGCACACGTTTTCTCTTTTCTTTCTCACACTGTCCGTTCGTGAGTTGGCGATTGGGGGTTTTCCGCATCACGCGCTTCTTCCACGAGGTTTTCTCTGTTCGTCCACTCCACGTAGCCATGGTTGTAGGTGGGGGGGGGGGGGGTGGACCGCGGCACACTGAAGAGGGGGGGACCACCGGCTGCCGGTCGAGGTTTGTTTGTTTCCACCCCCCCCCCCCCCCCCTTTTTTTTTTCTTTTTTTTTTTTTACTTTTTTCAGTTCGTGTGTTTTGCTTCCGTTTTTTTGTGTTTTCCCGGGGGGTTTTGCTGTTTGGGGGGTTGGGGCTATGGTCGTATGCGGGTGGGGGTGGGTATTGCCATTTTCGTGGCCGGATTAGGTACCTAGGGTTTTTTTGGGGGTGGTGTTTTTGGGTTGGGGTCTCCGGTGATGTCTGGTCTCTGGCTGGTACGGTTGGGGTTTGGGTTTGGTTTATTGGGGTTTCTATTTTGAATTTTGGGGGGAGTCGGTTGGGCGGGGGGTTCTGCTTCCGGTGGGTGGCCGTGCGCTGTGGTGGGTGGTTTTGGGGCTTTTCCGGCTGTTGATTGTGGTAGTTGGGGGAGGGGGATTGGTGGTGGCAGTTTTGGGGGATTTTTTTGTTTTTTTTTTTTGGGGTCGGGGTGGGGGGGTGTGGGGTGGGGGTAAATGGGTGGTTCTAATTCTGGTTGCTTATGCGGGGGTGGGGGTGGGTATTTTTGCTGATTGATCAAACTGTGTGTGTATATTGGTGTTTCATAATGCAGGTTGGTTTTCAGAACAGATGTGGTGTTCTTGTTTTATTTGTTTTTTTGGGTTTCTGCATTATAAATGAACATCAAAAATTTATCATACATTCATCCATGTACATCTTCATTGATTTTAAATTTATTTTAGTTGTTGTTTTTTTTTTTCTTTTGTTGTCAACTGTGTCTCCTTTATAATTTGTCATTGTAATGCTTTTAGTATGTATAGTAGTGTGGGGCTGTATATCAAACTGTGTGTGTATATTGGAGTTTCATAATGCAGGTTGTTTTTTCAGAACAGATGTGGTGTTCTTGTTTTCTATTGTTTTTTGGGTTTTCTGCATTATAAATGAACATAAAAAATTCATCATGGATTCATAGATGTACATCTTAATTGATGCTTTAATTTATTTTAGTTGTTGGTTTTTTTTTTTTTTTTTTTTTTTTTGGTGTCAACTTTGTCTCCTTTATAATTTGTAATTGTAATGTTTTTAGTAGTATAGTAGTGTGGGGCTGTATTTGTTACTGGATGCATTTGTTGTTTTAATCGTTCTTGTATGATTGTATTTTAATTGGATGGTGGTCTGTGTGCTTGGCAGTGTACACTTACGTGCACAGTTAGACTGCACCCTTATGTTTGTGTTTGTTGTGTGCAGTTGTTTTTCCCAATTCTGCGTCGGGGCCATTTTTTCTTGCTTTGTGTTGATTTCCCACGGTTTCGCTATGTCATCATCGACAATGATTCGAATCCCCAATCAAAGGCTCAGAAATATGGTGATTGTATTGAGGATTTTGTTAGTGTGGCCCTCTCTGCACCCCTTTTGTTCTTTTATTCTGTTTATGGACTTCATTTATCCGGTGTTGCTGGTGTGAGTGATGTTTGAATGGATATTGTATTTTTTGTGTTTCAGATGGGGACGCTTTCCCGTTTCTACGAGGTTCGCTCCCCTTCTCGGTCTGCTACTTGTGTTTGTGTTGAGGCGAAGCATTTGCAAATGTCTTGGCAGGATTCGAAGAACAAGATTGATTGCGGGGTTTTTCTCATGCGGCATATGGAGACATATGTTGGCCAGCGTGTTCGTGATTGGGATTGCGGTTTATTGTAGGGGGACACTACTACTTTGCACAAGCTTAGGCTACGTTACATGTCGGAGATTGTGATTTCGGAGTTTAACGTGCACAGGCAGCGCAATCTTTCGCGAGCGTACCAGTCCATTTCGCCCCCCCTGCCCCCTGTGTAGACTTGTGGATTAAATAGGTAGTCATTGTTGGCTGTTTGGTATTTTGTGCACACCCCTATTTATCAGTGTGCTTTGTTTTTGGCGTTGGGGTGTTTGTTTTTGGACGTTTATGTTGTTACAGTGGACTTGACATGGTTTGTTTTCTAAGCATGGCAGTCGTGTGATGTTAACTTTTGCCTAGTCTTTCTATTATTTTTGGTTCTATCTTGTTTCCTATACACTCGCACTGTAATGGGTGTGCGCGTTCTATTTCTAACATGTGCGTAGCTAACAACCGTTAAGATTACTCATGATTTCCGTTCACAGTAATGGGTGTTGTGCTATTTTCTTACATGTGTGCATTATTCTGTTACCATATGTGCGGTACGGCTGGGTTTGCTTTTGTTTTGTTTGTGCAGTTTACATGTGTGCGCGAGCTTGTTGTGCCAGCGTGCGTAGGGGTTAAGTGGTTTTTAAATTTTTTTTTTAATTTCTAAGCGTGGTTCACGGTAATGGGCGTAGTGGAATTTTCTTCCATGTGTGCACTGTTGTGGTACCATGTGTGCGGTACGTCTGTTTTGGCGTTTTTGGATTTCTTTACCCCCTTTCTACATGTGTGCACGAGCTTGTTGTGCCACCGTGCGTAGGGGTTCCGTGGTTGTGTTTTTTTTTTTTTTTTTTTTCTAAGTGTGGTTCACGGTAATGGGCGTAGTGTTGTGTGCTTCTATGTGTGCACTTATGTGGTCCCATGTGTGTGGTACGTCTGTTTTGGCTTTTGTGGATTTCTTAACCCCTTTTCGACATGTGTGCGCGAGCTTTTTGTGCCAGCATGCGTAGGGGTTTCGTGGTTGTTTTTTTTTTTTTTTTTTTAATTTCTAAGCGTGGTTCACGGTAATGGCCGTAGTGTTATTTTGCTCCCATGTGTGCACTGTTGTGGTACCATATGTGCGGTACGTCTGTTGTGGGTCTTGTGGCTTTCTTTACCCCTTTTCGACATGTGTGCGCGAGGTTGTTGTGTTTGCGTGCGTAGGGTTTCGCGTTTGTGTTTTTATTCCTATTTCTAAGCATGGTTAATAACTGGTTTGTGGTTAATTGGTTCGTAAACATAACGCTTCATGTGACATGTATGGTTGTGAAGTTGTTTTGTTCAGTTTTGATGGTAGAAGTAGTATCATGGGTTTATGTGCCCGTATGGTGTTAATCGTGTGCGTGGTGGGTCGGTGTGTACGTTGCATCATGAATTTTCAACACGCGGCTGGTGTGGGTTTTTTAACTCGCATCTGTGCACACCTAGTTGGGATGCGTGCGTTGGCTGTACGTTTTTGTCCTAAAGGTTTTAATATGCAATGTCCACTTAAAAACACAAAGTACGGTTCAATGAGTGTGGTTCGTAATTCTAAATTGCATTGTTCAATATTATTGGAATAAACAATACTCTAAGCCTCATCCTGTGCTACCTTTTCTGGACAGGTGCGGCTGTTGTGGCCTGGGAGATTGCATATATTGCATGTCCTCTCTTTCTTCTTTTGGGTCTTTGTGATTGCCTTCTCTTTGTTGCTTTTGAGTCTCTTCCCACTTCCTTTGTTCTTTGCGACTTTTGGTGGTTTTATTTGTATGTCTCCTGGCTTGCTTGATCCTAGTAGTATTTCGAACATAGTTTCGGTGTTTCCACTCTCGGGTGGTTGTTGCCGCTCCCTTTGTAGGTCTTGTTTCAGTTGTTGCAAGGTTGACAGCATTTGGTCCATTTTGTTAGGCCAACCACTCACTAATCCCATGCAGTTGTAGAATTCGCTCCAAAGTTGATTGGCTACTCGTGATGATTCATTTGTGGTGGGGATATTGGTAGTTTTTGCCCACGGCACATCGTGTATTGGGTGTGCACATGCGTCTCTTCTCCATCGTGGAACTAAATACTTGTCTGGGATTGATTCGTACCCTGTTGCCTTCATAACTGCTAGTATGTGTTTGCAAAGTATACCAACACGGGTGAATTTCTTGCATGCACACTCTATTTTCGTCTCGTTTGGAGCTTCGGTTACTTCATACATTTTTCCTCCTGTTTCCTCAACTTTGTAAGGTGTGCGTTGTATGCTCTATGCGTGTGCATCCAACATTACTGTCATTTTTTTACAACAACCAGTGTGTGTTCATGCCATGTGCGTTATTATGCTTTTCAACTACTCCTACTGTACAGAGTAACTGCGGAGCACAATTATCATATTCACAAAATGGGCTATGTAATGTCTATTCGTATTCTATGCGTCACTTATTCTAATGATTAACAAAATAATTACCTGTTTGTGTTGGTGATGTGTAATCCATTGTTGAATCTGCTTCTTCACGGTCGTTGTTTGCCGTTGGTGCCGCTGATGTCGGAGCTTCGTTCCCGTACGTATCTTGCTGTTGCCGTGGGGGTAGTTTCTCGCTGGGTTTTGGAGACTTGGAATGCCGTGTAGTGTGGTGTGTGATTCATCAGATTCCAATTATACTTAAATTAGTCTTGTTAATTTAGGTTAAATATCTCAATCCTATTTTTACCTAAATTAATACTCCCATCCATTGTCTTAATTACCCTTGTAATATTTGATTGGGATTCTGATTTATTTTTTCCCACAATAATCTAATCCCTTCATCTAATCTAATCTAATGGTCCATATTAGTCCATAGGTTTGTATTTTAAGGGTGTTTTCACTTGAATGCAACCCTATATATATATATATATATATATATATATATATATATATATATATATATATATATATATATATATATATATATATATATAAGGAAAACCATTTTGAAGCCGGAACAGATATATACTTATGAAACTCTAATTTAAAACCGAGAATAGACTCAACAAGTAAGGGTAGGCACAGTCATCAGATATAATCACGCATATAAAGATACTATCATACACCCTAAGGTCACAAGACTATTTCACATCATTTAAATCAGTATTCAATCATAATTTCAACACGTAAACACATTTGGTGGTGCTGCAGGACCCTTCACCCGCCCATACACGTACGAAGCGCCAGCGCATATAGCTCTGGCATGGCCCCAAGCACCCTGCCTGTACCGCAGCACAAGGAGATTGATCGCAACTAATCGATGAACCGCAACTCATTTATAACGTTTGATCGCAACCAAACGGTGGACCGCAACCCGAATAGTACGTATATCTGATCGCAACCAGATTATGGACCACAGCCCTATATATATATTTATATACCCGTCTGATCGTAACCGGCCGGGTTAACAACCGATGGTTCTCAACCCATCCAACTGCCTGTATAGCCAATTGATCGCAACCAATTGGGGTATCATGCACAAATAACACATAGCCAAGCACATGCAACCCACATTAACGGATAAGGAGGGGGAATCATACATATATAACTTATGCGTGGTCAATTACATTACTAGAGACATGCCTATGGGTTCATGCACTTTCCACCTAGGCCAACGGGATACCAATTCGACTAGCAAGCAATACACAAGACTCTTTTAGCCTTCGAACGGTACCCGATACATCAAACTAGATTCAAGCACGAAAAACGGGGTCCAATGGGACACCACGGGGTACAGGGAAAACTACCATGTTCCACACTGGAATTCCAGCGGGTGGCCGGCGGGTAACCCGCTGCTAGGCGGTCCCATGGGGCAGCGGGTAGGTGGCGGGTACCCCTGCCCCCACCTACCCCCCACTGACTCTTATGTAATAATTCAGTCCCGGGATCCCTTGTGGAACCCAAAACCCTGTCAAAAACATTTAAACACAAACGACGACACCACGTAATCAAGTAATGGATTAAAACCAAGAATCACATTAAATACATCCTAACACGACTTCTAAACATGCCAAGACTCAATACCCGATCATGAAAAATCCCACCCAAACCTACCAAGAATAACACAATACGAAATCCACGTTTTAACCCTAGGGCTCTAGTCATAATTAAAACACAAGATCATTTATATAATTTATCTTAGAATCAAGAATATCAAGATTATCATAGTTGGTTCAGGTAGGGGTCCACGATCCATTGTGGGCCGCCTAAGTTAATTAAGGGGATTATAATTGAATTAACCCCCTTTTAATTGTATTACTTAGCGGGATTAATTTAATAATTAATTCAGATTTGAAGGTCGTAACATGGGGTGTTACACCCGTGACCTCGTCTCTTCTATATAAATGAGCTATTCTGTTTAAGATTCTCACTCATTCAATCTCTCAAATGGACAAAGGCAAGGAGATTGTATACTCAATGGAAGCTGAAAACCATGGGAAGGTTGATCGAAAGAAGAAAGGCAACACACACTATGCCAGTGGAGAGAGTTCAGAGAAGCGTTCAACTCTTGTTGCAACAAGTGAGATTTCACCACCTCCAAATCAGAACGAGGTACCTCCTCCACAAGCTGGGACCGAAGCTAATCCAATTGAGAAATTCCTCACCAATCCTCTACACACCAGAGAATACGTGTTGTGGCCTCGAGATCTTTCATGTACTGATGAGGAAGTCAACGAGGACTAAACTTCTAACACAGAATATGATTTTGTGCTGACTGATCTTCTTGCTTTTGAGCTCTTCCGAAATGATTACCTCAAGGACAGAACTCTTGCGCTTCAGAGGGCCAAAGCGAAGAAGTGAAGAAAATGGAATCTCTCGTAGTGGTCTATAATGTACTTGATGATTGAGTCTGTTTGTTTTATCTATACTCCGTGTACTCAATAATCAATCATCGTTATGTTTTGTGTTTAAAAATAACGATCTCCTTTGGACCTTGATCACACGAAAGAACACCATTCATCTTCACGAAACTTTATTTGTTTTGTGGAGATATGAACAGTCAAGACTTCTTCATGAAGCAACTCATGGAAGAAGGTGAAACGGCTAGAACAAGGATATATTTATCTTAACCGTCCGATGAAAGTTATGAAATGCATCGTGTGGCTGAGAAATTCGGTCCACTAACCCATAATCGTGACTGATCGTGTCAGCGGAAAGGACGGGCATTAATTACCCTTGTCCCATACTCAAGTGCATTTCTCTCTCCTCATTAAATGAGGAATGACAATTTTTTATCTGATATCTTCCTTATCAGATAATTTCCACAGATATATTGCCTTATATACGCAAGTTGTCAGATGTGACCCAAACCCATTGCACTTACCCATACCCTTTCAAATTCAAACTACGGGTCATTCATCAACCCGGCCAAACCAATTCGGTTATATCCACTTATCAACCCTACAAACACTTCTCATAATTCCCTATCTTCATCGTGTTTAGCCTCAAACCTCTGAAACACTCCCAAACACTTTCAAAAACCTCTCAATCTTTCACAAACCCTCCCAAGAAACCTTCAACCCAACAATGGCGAAGAAATCTAAGTCAAAGGCTCCCAAAGAAACCAAAGAAGTTCAAACCCCATCTGTCGAGAAGTTCCCGACGTTCCCGACTTTAGATGAATCCTTCATCAAGTCTAGGGAACACTTCATCGCTTGTGGATACATGTGGGATGCTCATGGATTCCTTCAGTATTGCCTCGACAAGACGTTCGAAGAAAATATCATCAATCTTTTGCAGGAAAGTGGTCTTTATAACTTTGTGACTCATGTTTACATGTTCTTTTATCCATTTGAAGTCACACAGTTCTATTTGAATGCATTTGTATCCACTGATAACTCTACAATCACGTCTGAAGTTAATGGAACAACAATTTCCCTGACATCGGAGGATGTTCGAAAGACATTTGGTTTTCCAAAACGAGACGATACATACCATTCAAACTTCCTGATGTATGGTTATGATCCGATTGCGTTCTATTCCCAAATAAAAAATGCTTAGAGTCGAATTCATGTGAAGTAGCCGTTGAAGAAGAAGTGGCTCCGACTTGACTATGAGTTTGTGGCAGACATCTTCAACAAGATTGTTGATCACAAGACATCTGGCACCGATGATGTTACCCAAGGCAAACTGAAGATGATTCATGCATTCTTACACAGCTACAAACTGGATTGGTCAAAAATCGTTTTTGATCAACTTTTGGTCCATGTCACTGCTGGAAAACGAAAGAAGGAGACATATGACGAAAGGTTGGCTTTGGATTGATGATAGGCCACATGCTTCGCTTCAAAAATGTCATTTTACGGAAAAGTGTTTCACCAAGTTCTAAGATCTGCCACATGAAGTCCAAACCTTCAGGTTATGATAAACAAAGGGCGATTGAGTTGGACTTGCCCATCCTAGAGTCAAAGTCAAAGTCCAAACAAAAGATGACATCTGAAAGTGATCAGCCCACGCCAAAGCGTCGAAGAAAATCACGAAAGGATAAGCATTCATTAGAAGAAGGTTCATCTCGTTCTCTCTCCATTGTTCCGGAGAACGAAAATGAACACATGACTCCGAAAGTTCCAGCTACTCTCTCAACCTCACCACAGCCTACGATTGACACAAGCGTGGCAGCTGATTCACCTCTTCAACACGAATCACTTCCTACACCGGCTCCAGCTCTAAATCAAGTCATGTCTCCTATCACACAAGTTCATCACATCAACAGTTCAGAAAACACTCAAGTAGAGAATTCGTCCGATGACGAATGTTCAAACAAACATCAACCTGGTTCGGTGAAGATAACTTTCGTCATCTTCATGACAAAGCTAATGAAATCATGACTCGATTAGCTCCACCTCCTACTTCTACTCTCTCAAAATTCTGAAGAACTATGGTTACACCCTCGCCTGTTGCTCAGGGGGGAATAAAAGACCACGCACGAGTGCACCTGCTGTGAAAAAGTTGACCAAAGCCCTTGCCATTGTGCGGGACATGAAGAAGCAACAATCCACGCCTGAAAGGTCCTTGCCACAAGAACCTATTGTTGCAGAACAGGTCTTACCGATTCTGGCACAAGAATATACAATAGTAGAAAAGGACAGGTGTGTGCCTTCTTCATCTGATCTCTTAAGTCTCCCACAAGAACCTGGTTTACCAGAAGAGACGAGAGAAGAAATCATTGAGACAAGTTCAGTTCCACCCCCAACACGAGATCAATTGCTTCGACAGTCCATCTTCGAAGATTAGCATCGAGTGCTACGATGGCAGAAATGGCGCACATCATCTCTCGACGACTTCTTAACAAGAGTCGATGAAATGAAAGAAGAAGAAATTTTTACCTTAGAATGGCTGAACACGAAGGATGTCTATGAGGCGATTCTACTTCCAAAGATCTCACGAACGTATTCTTACAAAATCACAAATCGGAGTCTTGGAAAAGATAAAGCCCCAGTCTGCATTAACATTGTGAAACCATCTTTCGATGACCCAGCTTTCGAGGCTGAAATGAAGAATCTCAAAGATGCCATGCGGTTATCAAAAATCAAAACGGAGCTTGAAAAACTCTACAAGAATGATCCTCATTGCAGTGTCAGTGGCACGAAATCTGTTGTTGAACACATCTATCTGCCTGCTGATACACGAGAAGAGCAAGTCTCTAAGGAAAATGATTTTGGAGGAATGACTACTGAAATCACTACGAATGAGCACCATCTTGAAGACAATGTCACTCCCGAAACTTTTGAAGCCGAAAAGAGTGATGAGGCAAAAGAGACAGCTGATGAAAAGGACGAGATCAATGATGATAAAGTAAATGAAAATGGTGACAGCGAGAAAAATGACAATGAGGATAACAAGGATGATGAAGAAGAAGAAAAGGATGACGATGAAGATGAGGAGACTGATCAAGACGATCATGATGATGATAAGGATGACAATTGGGATGATGAAACCGATGATGATCCGAAAGATGGTTTCGATGGAAGTTCTGATGCCAGCTCTAGTGATGATAACGACGATGATGATGAATCTCCGATTATTGGGCAAACCAAGATGATTCCTCCTACAGATCGATACTCTCGTTCAAAGGATGGAAGATCCTGGATACCGAAAGCATCCGATGATGGTAATAGGGAAGCATCATTGGCAATCACACCTTTCGTTCCAAGTCGAACTGAGCATGGCACACAGACCGATACTGAAAATCTTAATTTTGATGCAATCCTGGGACTTCTGACACGGACAGTTGAGGCACTTCAAAAGCAGCATCAATGCTACAATGAACAACGCATCGAGGATGCTGAAATCATAGCACATATGTCCACTCAAATGGCTCTCATCACGAAGTAGCTCGATAGCCTGCTCACAAACCCTTAGAAGGGAGGTTCATCTACCTCTCAAGCCCCGCAGCCTATTGACTTAAGCCATCAAACAGAACTACTTGAGAAAATTGCAAAGGAGCAACATTCGCTCAAATTTTCGCAATTTGGTCTTAAGGAATGGGTAGATCTCGCATGTCTAAAGATTGACACAGCCGGCGATACATCTCTGCCATGGCCAACTATCAGCTGCAGATCTTAAAATTTGTCATGGATCTCACTCTCAAAGTGGAATCACTTTTGAAACCCTCTGATCCTCCCACTGATGGTGATGATGCCAAAAAGGGGGAAAAGAAACACAGAAAAGATGATGATGATGAAGCGGATCAAGGAAGAAGCAAGGAACCCGAAAGAAAAAATGAAAGAATTCTCGCTCTTCCAAGCAATGCACCTTCTTTCGAGCCTCAGCAGCAAACACCATCCGAATCTAGACAGCAAACACCTTCCAAGTCTTGGCGACAGTCAAAGAGACCGAGACCATCCTATGGTTCAATTCATATTCTACTTATTCTTTTGCAGGATTATCTCGTCGAGAGAAGATAAGTCTTCGACAAAAGTTGATGAGAGATGACAAAGTAACAATGGATGGAGCTATAATATTCATTAACTATGAAGAATACAAAGAAGGAAGTGGTTTAAGGTTCGAAGGATACAATCTGCCAGGCTGGTTGAAGAAAAAGGATGATCACACTCGGCAAGATTATCAATGGAAGGAGAACCAGAGAATAAGAGAAGAAAATGAAGCTAAAAGGCTCAAGCAAGAAGAAGCAAGAAATCAAAGGAAACAAGAGCTCACCAGATATCAAGAGACACAAGAGAAAATCAAAGATGTTTCGAAGAATAGGAAGAGATGCAGACTTTGATGTCAAATATGATGTTGTAGCAGAGGTTCACCGAGAATCCGGGAAAAGCTACGTTGATGGAATGAATTCCATAGAGCTTATAACATGGTGGAATAATGGCATCATCTCAGGACGAAACATTCTAGAAGCTTATAACAATTACACGAGCTATAACTTCGGAGAAAAATATGAGGCTCAAGTTCGTGAAAGACCACTCAGAGAAGTCAGAATTAATGTGAACAATGAAATAGACTATGACAATATGCTCGAGGAGCAAAGAGAGTGAGACGACAGAGAAAGGATGGAAGTTCAACAAGCAAAACAAAGTGTCTTGGCCCTGTAATTTGTTTACCTTTTGAGCACTTCTTATTTTGTAATTTATATCTTGCTTAATGAATATCTTTTACAAGATTCTTTTTGAAGTACTTTCGGTCTTTAACTAATGCTTTCTTATAATTGTTTTAGATCCTTTTGTACACTCTTGAATATGGCTGTTTTGTAATAGAACTTTCCTTTAAAGAACATCTTTCAGCCTTATAAATAAGAGTATAGGTTTTGGCATCATCAAAAAGGGGGAAATTGTTAGGAACAAGTGTTTATAGATTTTGATGATACCAAACTGTCTTAGGATGTACACCCCTATTTTTTTGTTTAATAGAAAGTCTCATATGACATAGGCATGAAATGTTAAATCATGCACGAGACGAATAGAATAGGTCTACATGAAGACTCGAAGATGATCGAAAGTTGCCTGCAAACGAAAGGATGACTAAAGCAAGTCTCGGACAGACTGCTTCGACAAAAGGGACTTTCGTTCAAGAGGAAATGACGAAAGATGAGGACAATCTTTCGGTCCCAAATATACAAGTCAAGGACAGACTTGTTAAAAGGCAACTCTCATTAATGGAAACAATGAGAATGTTGTCTATCAATCAGTTGGGCAAATCATTCGGATAAAAGGTGTCCCAGGAATGATCTTCACTAAAGACAAGGTGCATTAAAAGACTTGCACTATCTTGTCAGTGAACAAGGACAAAAGCCATAATGCTTTTTGCTCCAACGGCTACATAGTACAAATGCATTTAATGCCCATTGCCCACTGAGTAATACACACTGGTTATTAGTTTTGCAATTTTCATCTCCCTCCAACGGATGGATTTTTCCACCTATAAATACCCATCTTCACCATTGAAGAAGGTGCTGGTTAATTCACTCTCTCAATCTATGAAAAGCATTTCAAAGCAGTTTCATCTCCTTAGCTTTTCTTAACCAGTGTCAGTTGTGAAGTCTTTCAAAGGCAGATCTTTCCTCATACTTCACAACCTGAAGCTGTCTTGCTCTTTCATCAAGTGAAGATCTATTCAGACATCAAGACAAGTTTCAATCTGTTGGAGAAACACCAAATCTCTTTTCCAACATCTCAACTCAGGAGTTAGTTGATAGAGGCGGAGTAAACTATAGGAGTTGAAAAACCTGTCAAGTGGATGTCCGGCTTAATGATCAAGGAAGCCAGCTTGAAGTAGTTTGTACTAGGAGTGATAGTGCAAACCCTTTCACAAGTTGTGAAAGAAGAGTGGTGTAGGCACGGTTGGCCGAACCACTATAAAAATCTTTGTCTCTCTCTTTACATATCGTTTTTACTTTCGTGCTCCGCATATTTTATCATATCGACTAAACACATTTCCTTATAAACACGAAAGAGTGCAAAGACAAGTTAACTTGAAACAATATTTCCGCTGTGCATATCTCCAAAAGTAAAAAAATCGAAAACAAATCGATTAGAGTCTCTCTGACCCTACCTGGACCAACAATATTCTATTATTTATTTTAAATAGTTTTGTTTGATTCCAAATAATGAATATCAAGGTGCATTTGTTTGGTTAATTATTCAGATTTGGGGTTATGTGGTAAATTTTGTATTTAATTTAATAGTCATAATAATGAATAAAATTTTGTAGTATTTATATTTGAGAAATCTTGCTACTCAGTATTATGTTTTCAAGAAATAATCAATAGTCTTTTAAAACATGCGTGAATGCTTTCATTCTTTCAACCGTACAAAGCAATGTACATTAAAAAACATATTGCAAGTAATCAAGGTTGGTATAATGTTGCGGATGCTTCGCCTGCTTGCAAGCAAAGCTTATGAACTTATTTTGATATAGTTGACTAGTTGGGTTGTGCTTCGGGGGCATAATATATTAGTTATAATTCAAAAGAAAAGCAATTCTCAAAATAACTGTGGTGTGAATAGTGCAATTGAGGCTTTAACTATTTTTTAAGGCTACATTGAGACCTTCTAAATTGACAAAAAATACAATTGAATCGTAATATTAAACAACATATTAAGTGTTATTGTTGATTTGGCTAACAAATGACCTCCAAATTCTCTTGCACTGTGCTAGTCCGATTAAGAAATTCACTTTGCACATTTTATGCTAGAAAGATCCTAAATAAGCCACAACAATCTTACATAGATTGCTTGAGTTGTTATCTATCAAGAAATGGCGTTGGGGAGCTTAATATCACTATATATGGGAAACAATATAATATAAGTTGTCGCCTTGCATAGCCTCGAGCCGAACAATTAAGCAATTGAAACTCAGCAATTTCGGTTTTGATTGCCCAATAAATGGTGGTTGCATATTTCTTAGTGTCACTTCATTAGTTTTCAAAAAGGTTGATTTTAAGAGTATAATTAATGGAGGAGTTGTCTTGCTAATCTTGAGAAGCTCGCTTTCAGTGTTTGTGTTGGGAACAATCATTTTAGGGACATCTTCAATTTTTATTTTATTATTTTTTTTTAACAATGAGAGGCTAAATTTGAAGATTTTTTTTTTTTAAACTAGCAGTCAAAGGGTCAGTATCCCTATTGACACTTCAACCACCTCTGTACATAGGATAAATTATATGCGCATGCACAATTCATAAACAATAAGTGGAAGTTGCAAAAGAAAATAATTTCCTTTGTCCCGTTGTCTTCAAATAAGAGGGAATACATTGCAAATGCACTAGAAAATTATCTGCTTAACTGGGGGCTAAAGTTTGTGTCTGTGTGTGTGTGTGTTTTTTTTTTGTGGTTTGTTTGTTTGTTTGTTTGTTTTTTTATCTACAATAGATAATGTTTCAAGCAATGATATTGATCTAGGCTTATTGAAAAATAAAATGTTGTCTTGGGGAAATGGGGTGGTATTGTTGTTAGGTATAAGTATTTGAATATGAGATGCATTGCTCACATCCTTAACGTGGTGGTACAAGTTGGGTTGAAGAAATCTAACATTACGTTAAGAAAGTCTGAGGATTTTTTTTTTTTTTTTTTTTTTTTTGGTGAAAAGAGAATGTGATAGGTATGTGAAGAACTCCCGTGCTAGGCTACAAAAATTTAGGGATCTAGCTTATTTAATAGGGGTGGAAGCTAAAAATTATTTAAGTCTTGATGTTCCTACAAGGTGGAACTCTACATACATGATGTTTCATACTGCATTGCTCTATCAGAAAGTGTTTGAAGCGTATGAAGATCATGAAATATCTATTGCTGTTAACTTGGGTGGAAATGTGCGTGATTGCATGGATTGAGATTTTATTGGTTTTTTGGTTAAAATTCTAAACTGTTTCTATGAAATGAGTCAAATTACTGTTAGGATTTTTGGTTATTACTCGTATGTGACTTCTAATTCATTTTTCTATGAGATTTCGAATTTGTCATGCACATTAAATGAAGTGATGGGAGTTGATTCAGACAGTGTTTAAATATGAGGGTAAAGTTTGATAAATACTGAGGTGATCCAGATAAAGGCCGTGTTTGGTAAAAAAATTGGCCTATAGGCCAATTTTGACTTTTTTGATCACTATTAATTGTTTGATTTAGTTAAAACATCAATATAAGTGTTTGGTTAATTAGCTTTTTGCAACTCCAAAATGCTAAAATTCAAAAAGCTACTCCAAGCAACTTTTTCAATTAGCTTTTTTTATAAAAGAAATTATACCAAACAGCTATCAGCTAACAGCTAATTTACCAACACTTTTCTACAACAGCTAATGTTATCAACTAGTTATACCCTCTAATTAACACAATCAGCTAACACCTATAAGCTAACAGCCATTTACCAAACATGACCAAACTGAAATTTTTAAATTTCTATGCAAATATCTTAAGACCCCACGAACAAAATAGAATACATATCATACTAGTTTACCTAATTGTATGGTGATGTAAATGGTAAATCATTGTTTTAGAAGCTAAGGTTATTGTTGATCTTTAAAAAGTTGTATGATGATTATGTGGCTAGTTTTGGTGTCCAGTCAGATCCAGTTGCACAGTGTAAACAGTTTGTTTCTTCTATTTCAATGTCTGATTAAATTTCAATTGGGAGAGCTCAATCTTTGTTAAAAGCTCAGTTAAAGAAGCAAATATTGTAGAGTGGGGAATTGGGCAAGAAAATAACTGAGCTTGAAATATATTTGTTTGAGGCAATTGTAGAGGAGGGGAATGATTTTGACATTTTGAAATGGTGCACGCGCAATACTGAAAGATTCCCTATACTGTCTAAAATGGAAAGATATATTCTTGTTGTTCTCATCTCTACCGTTACATCTTAATCAACAATAAGTACTAGTGGGAGGTACTAGATGCTTTTAGGTGTTGTTGAGAGGCTTGTTTGTGCACAAGATTGGATGAGGTGGGCCAATCAACCAATCTCAACTAAAGAGAATATAGATGATTGAATGTATAAGATAAGAAAGAGGTAAACTATTAAGTGTAAATTTGTCGATTCCATTTTGCATATTTGTAATTGTAGTTGTAAGTTAAAACTAAATTAGTAAATTGTCAATTTGCTATATATGCACTTTTGCCCTCGCCTAGCAATCGTTATACCCTACACCACGGCGCGCGTAGCACTGTACACCGCGCGCCTCCCAAAATGATCCTAAAACGACGTCGTTTTGGGATCATTTTGGGAGGCGTGGTAGGAAGTTGCTGTGATTATGTGTATTTGTTCACACAATTATGTGTATTTATTCATACAGTTATGTACATCTTTTATACAATTATGTACATTCTTTTTATACAATTATGTACATCCGAATCAGAAAATTTGTGTGTATTATGTTAAGAGTTGATGTGTATTATGTTAAAAGTTTATGTTTATTATGTATTATGTTAGATTATGTGTATTATCTTTTAAAAAGAGTATGTATATTTTGTTATATAATTATGTACATTCATGTATACAATTATGTGTATTCTAGTATAACATTATGTACATTTTTGAACAACGGGTTTTTTTTTAAGAAAAAATTACTGCCATTCACTAGGGCGGGAAATTTCAAAAAAAAAAAAAAAAAAAAGTTAAAACAACGTCGTTTTGCATCTGGGCGCACAGTGCAACGCGCGCCGTGGTGTAGGATATAAATTGCCCTTGCCTAGAGAGTACAGAAAGTCTTAAGTGGGCTTCTCATCTACCAACCCAATGCTCTATGACAAATTGAATTTGGATATAATTGTCACAATGTAAATGTTTAAATTTATTCAGAGAAAATTGTAATTTATGTCTCTTATGTATAGACTAATTATAAATGTCACTCTCAATTCCAAGTGATATAATAATTGGGTGTTTGATAGGATGGAATTATAATTACATGGTTTGGTTGGAAGGAATTGCAATTCTCTTCAATCATGGGTTTGCAATTCCTAGGTCCCCCCTAAGAATTGCAATTATTAGGAATATTGCAACACTTTGTGGAATTGTAATTCCATGATAAATTAACATTTTATCCTTCTTATAATTATTATATTATTATTATACAATGACATTTTAATATTTATTCACTTCTTCCCTTTCAATTCTCAATCATTCTATTCATTTCTACCAAATATAATGTAATTTAAATAATCACTTTATTTATTTTTTCATGAAATTACAATTCTTTTCTCTCATTCTAACCAAACGCCCGGTAACTGTTACCCTTGAAATGTGGTCATAAGTTGCGCAAATTATGCCCTGGAAACGTGTTCACCATGAATGGTGAACACGGGTCCAAACGACGTCGTTTTTATGAAAAAAAAATTAGTTAATGTGCTGTTAACGGCGCGCGTTTGTTCAGATTATGAATTTTCTGTTATGAGATTATGAATGTACTGTAAATTCATAATCTCATAATAGAAAATTCATAATCTCATAATAGAAAATTCATAATCACATAAAAAAAATATTTATTAAATTATAAATTTTCTGTTATGAGATTATGAATTTACAGTTATGTAATTATGAATTTTCTGTGAATTCATAATCTCATAATAGAAAATTCATAATCTCATAAAATAAAATTCATAAATTCATAACTGCACATTCATAAATTCATGCGTGCACATTCATAATTTATGAATGTTGAAGAAAGTTGCACGACGAGGAAGTGAAACCGCGAAATGTGAAAATGAAGAAGAAAAATCGCGCGATTAATTATGAAAAATAATTAAAAAAAAAAAAAAAAAAAAAAAAAAAAAAAAAAAAAAAAAAAGATAACGGTGCACCGTTACCGTTGGGACCGTGTTCACCATGGATGGTGAACGCAGTTCCATGGCATAACGATTGCATAAGTTGCCACTCTTGATGGGCATAAATTACAACGTAACATATAGTGAAAATATATTACCATATTTTTAAAAAAAAATATTACCATATTTTGATAATTCAGAGACAACAATTCGGCAAACCATAATACCATTTAAAATTGCCTGCATGGGTAGTTCAACTGGTCATAGAGGTGAAATTTTGGAAGAATGACCAGGGATCGAGTCTCACCAGCGGCAGTGTGGGAGCAACCTCTCAAAGTGAGGGGGGGCTCCTTGTGCGCAGTGAGCATCGGTCTAGCCTTTGTAGTTTATGTTCAGTTGAGTCATCATGATTTACATCCTCCCAAATGCATGCTCTGTCAGGCCGGGCGGGGTGTGGGGGGCCCTTAGGGTTGGGGTTCTTCCTTTATTATTGAAGGATATTTATAATTAACCTATAGTTTAGAGAATTAAATTACAATTTTTCATTTTATTCACCAATAATATGTTATCATATACCGTATACGGAGTACCTTTTAGGTTTGAGCAAGAAGTGTAGCAAACCTCTCCCAACTTAAACGAATCTCCGCTCGCCGTCTCTCTCCGTTTCGGCGTTCCGATCACAGGCTCTTTTCAATCCCAATCTGCTGCGTTCCCCTGTGTGTATGTTAGAATCTTTACGGTTTAATGTTCATAGTGCGATTGAAATTGATTTCGACATATGATTTATTATTTGTGTTTTCTTATCTGCAATATTGGCCGCGCAGGTGTACTAGTCCTTTTGTGTTGCAATTTAATTACTATCGCCAAGTGCACTCATTTTAGGATTTTGTTTTAATTTTAACTAGTATTGTCCCGTGCGATGCACGGATAATATTTGATAATTTGTTTTTAGCATTTCAAATAACTAAAATGAATTTACTTATTAGACGTGTTGAATGTAATTGCACTACAAAATAAAATATGAATAACAATAAAATGTTTTAGACAAACTACTTTGCATTATATAATATGTAAATATGTAAGTAACTAAATATACACATTATTAAATACATCATGATAAACAACGTACATTAGTGGTTGACGTACAAACATAGTTCGAATCACTACAAATTAGAATCTTCAATCCGTCTTGCAAACCCTAGCTCGTAGCAACAACGTACAATTGACTAAAACAAAAATCAACTTCTTCAACAATAAGTCAACCTATGATAATGCTTGCCCGACTCTTGTTAATCATTGATTTATAACATTAAGGGAGCGTTTGGTTCACGGAATGTTAGATTACCTTAGGGAATGTTAGATGACTCGGAATGTTAGATTCATGTGTTTGGTAAAAAATGGAGTATGTAAAATGTCAAGGTAATCTAACATTACCTAAGTTTAGCAAGGGAATCACATTCCCTCAAAAAAGGGAAAAAATCTGATGTGGCGGCAATGTTGGATTCCAAGGGAATATTATATAACTTCAACCAAACATAGGAATGTTAAATAACCAACCCAATATAACCTTTGTTATCCAATATAACCTCAACCAAACGCCCCCTAAAGGAAACTATTTTTTTTAAACTTGAAAGCTGAAACCAACACATTGTAATTTAATAATTACCATTAGTTATAACACTATATTATCAATGAAAGTGTTTATGAAAAATTGTGAGCCATTTTTGTTCGTTAGAGGTGTATTAATGTTGTTGCCAATAAATAATTGACTTTGCTCTACAAAAAAAATTATCCGAAAAAAGTTAAAACAATTAGTCACTTTGTATTTACAGTAATTGATGTTTAATAATCCAATACAAATTTTTTATTTTAGTGTGATACACAAACTTACTATTATTTACATAAGCAAGTGGTATACGGTTATCATTCTAAAAATTCCTACTTGTAGACGATCTATTGTTTGACGACACATGATATATGTTGTGGATTATAAATTACTAATGTACATTCTACAAATGATGATTGAAAAAAAATTAACAATTAATTTTACTCAATGGGGTAGAGAGTGATGCTTGAAATACACCGAAGACATAATTTTTTGCTGTAGAATCACATAGACTACCACCGATTGAAGCACTGCTTATCTTACTACTTGACACAATTTTATTATCTGCGAAAACAAACAATCAAATTACATATGTTATTGTTAAAATTAAAGTATTAAACATTATATTTAATGTTATCTACAGATAAGTGCAAAGGAAATTAAATACTTATGGAAATTAGAATTTTTTATTACTATAATTATATTTTTACTAAAATACTAACCTTTTATTATTTATGCAATGTAATTATAAATTATAAATTATAAATAATAATTACACTCTTAATACTATAAATAATATTAAAAAGATGTGATCTAAAATTATTTAAGCACTAATAATATTAATATTATTAATACTATACCGGCTAATCAAAATAAAAAAAAAACTAATAAAAACAACATCCTTACTATTAGAACTAAAAAATACAACTAATACTACTACAAAGCAATATTATAACAATAACAATAATATTATAATAATAATAATAACAATAACAATTATAATAATAATAATAACAATAATAATAATAATAATGCTACCATTGATGCCCACGCCAATAATAAAAGAAAAAAAGAAAAAAAATTATGCTGAGCACATTCTAGAACGCTCAGAATTGAGATTTGAGCTTCATTTCTCACTGTCGGCCTCTATCTACAATATTCCTGCGACCGTAAAACTACTTCTCTCTAGAATTTTCCTCAATCAAAGCCTTTAATCTATACTACTTCTTCTTCCATAGAAGTATAGAGATCTGTAACTAAATGGTTGATTTAGTCAAGAATCTGGCAAGTGTTCATCGATCTTAGCCTGACATAGGTATAGACTTCGACCAACACTGTTTCTTTTTCACGTTTCTAGTTCGACACCGGGTATTTCCCAGCGAAATTGAACGGTGGCTCATATGGGTAGACTCAGAGATGGAGTACCTACTCGAGGAAAGGTTCTTATTCTCCAATCTATATTCGGGAAAGCTAAATGTTGTAGATCTCCGTATTTTTGGGCATCTCAAGTTCATAGATTATTAATTATTCACGAATCTCACTATGAATCTGCTTAATCAACACACATGCAGGGTGATCTATGTGTATTTTTGGTCTTTACCCTTGCCATTTTTTCATTTTGAGAGTTCGGGAAATATAATGTCTATTATTTGTATGCAGATATCCTCAAAAAATATGGCAATACTGGAGACGGCTGGAATTAGACTGTCTGGGTAGAGCCACAAAGAGTGGATACATACAATGAACACCTTCTTTGGGTGGTAATGTTCTGTTATAATTTGTTCAACTATCTCTTTACACACACACACACACACACACACACATATATATATATATATATATATATATATATATATATATATATATATATATATATGCACAAAATGGTTATCTATAAAGAGAAAGAAAAGATGATAATGTAGCATTTACATACCTCCTGATCATGGACTATCCACTCTTCACTTCTAATGTATTTTTCTCCTCTGCTTTTAGTTACAACATAGTTCCGCACACAACGCAAGCTAATCGCCTTTGCTGACTGCTGAAGATGAAGCTGCACACCAACAATGAATTGCCCATACATGGATTCCGTTCTTTGGAGAAGTTTTTTTTTTTTTTTTTTTCGCTTTGTGTTTGCAGAGGTGACCTCTCTAAATATGTATGTATATATAAACATGGAACTGATGTAGTTGAACTCTAATAATCATAGCCATGTATTAGAACTCTGCCAACAATAGGCCGCTCTATACCTAGTTGAGCACACGCTTTCTATCAAGAAAGGATACCAACTATTCAGTCAGATAGTAGCCCATTCCCCTACACATCTACCTTGAAAGGCTATGTTTCTAAACCGGCATGCCAGCTTCTCTCCACTAACCTTTAAAATATATATATACACACACGATGTCGTTTTATATGAGCGGAAAAATGGCTGAATTTGATGGGATGAATCCCTGCAGCTTTTATATATACCAAAATGCCATCGCTTCCCATGGGCGGGAAAACAAAAAAAATTTATTTACCAAAAATGTTTGGCTTTATTATAATAGAGATTTATTGTTCTTTAATTTGCATATGTTGAAGTTATGCAAATGATGTTGGGGAGGAGGAGAGATGGAATCAGTCAACTCCCGACAGAAATACTTGACAATATCTTGGGATTATTGCCGATCGTAGAAGCTGCTAGAACTGCCGTTTTGTCTACCATTTGGAGAGATTGTTGGTCCAATGATCCAATCTCACACAACTTAACTTCGATGATCAGTTCTTTGCTTACGTTGGGATTGTTGGTCCAATGATCCAATCTCACACAACTTAACTTCGATGATCAATTCTTTGCTTACGTTGGGAAAAAATTATTCTGACAATTATAATAGCACATTGGCGAGTTGTCGTAGGATCCCAAATTAAAACCTTACCGTAGTAGCGGGAATAAGGGTCGATCCCACGAGGAGTAACTAGTTTAACTTTTATGCTTAAGAAAATTATGGGGATTTGAAATATAACGAGAATAAAGATTAAATAAAAGTGAATTTGAATAAACAAGAAATTCAAATGAATGAATAAAGCAATGAAAATAATATATTGAAAGCACTTATAATAGAAAACCTTGGTTAGTAAAGATCCACCACCGGAATTTAACACTGATCATTGACTCAAAAAGTAATTAATATGCAGTTGAATATTTGACGTGAAATTATTTTATTTCTGTTTTCCTTTAGTTGTAGGTAACTAAAGCACACGCGGTTTAATTACCCCTAACTACTAAATAATCTAAGACAAGCGTTATAGATTTAATTTAATAACAGCAATAGGAATAATTTAATAGCAGCAATAGGAACTAGGAAAACCGACAAACTAAATAACACAAGCACAAGCGGTTGCATTTAATTTAGGAAAATATTCTACCTGAGACCAATTATCACTAAAGCCGTCAATAATTAACCTCAGTTGCTACTGAATATTAGAATAATTTGAAGCACAACATTAACTAATATAGGAAATAATTATATCAAATAAATAACTAGTAGGCCTCCAAGCAATTAAATGATACTAACTATTCAAATAATTTATAAGAATATTTAACACTCAAATGCATAAAAATTATATAACAAAATAAATAAATAATCTTACAGCATAATGAATTCCGAAACTTCAATTTACTAAACCAAACCAGAAGAAATTAGCCACGAATGAACATTGATAACAACTTCATTCAAAGAATAGTTTAAAGAGGGAAAGAATGAACGTCTCAACAAAAGAATTTTACTACTATTTATACATCCTCCAAAATATACTAGAACCATTCTCCGCCATTCATTTTCTTATTTTTTAGCCGTACGCACGGCTGGAAATTATGGAATTTCTGACCACCTGAAAATGATTTTAAATTAAGTTGATACCAAAAAGTCCAAAAAGTGGTCGAAAATAGCAACGAAGATTTTTCTAGATACCAAAAGTGATTGAAACAAGGCTTTCAACTTGATTTAAAATCACTTTCAGGTGGTCGAAAATTCCATAATTTCCAATAGTGACGCACGAATCGGTCGATGAGGCTTTCCGCTGCTGCCGCACGCCGTCAAAACTTGCGCATGGTAATTGACGAATTCAATTCCTGCTGCGTACATAATAATTAAGAAACAAAATAACATTTGTTTTTGTCCATTATGCTAATTAAGCATTGGCGGTTTGGGCTATGATGTTAGGATTAGGATTAAAATGAATTTAAAGAATTAAACTCAAAACATATTATGAAGTAAATAAAATATTTATTTTGCTTATTAATTATTAAACTCTAAAAAGAAATAATTATTATAAAATAGTACATAATTAATGCAAAATTATTATAAAGATATACCTAAAATAAGAGTATAAAATATGTCTATCACACATCAACCTGTATGTATATATAATAATCAACAAAGTCCTCATGCAGCACCATGGACCTATTCGGAAATTTGTCTTCAAGTTTGAGGGTGACGTATTAATGGCCCTAATTCTCGGAAGTTTCACTTTGATCAATGGTTCCTTTTTATCACTCAAAAAGGTGTTGAAGAAATGAAAATTACTTTTCCAAGAACTATTGCAAAAAGGAAATATTTGAGGCTCCCAAATTGCATATTTTCTTGTTTAACTCTCAAGAGGTTGGATCTCAGCGAAGGATTAGTTGCACCAACAATAAATTCCCCTTGCATATTTCCGAATGTCTCTTCACTTAGTTTTGATGGCGTTGTCTTTGGTGCTATTAATCCGGATTGTGTTATAGATGTTCCTATGCTTGAGACTCTCTCATTTAGCGAATGTGAAAATGTGTCATATTTCAACATTAAGGCTCCCAGGCTTGGTAGTTTAACACTCAAAAATTATGAAATTGAAGAGATTTATCAACGTGTTCTCTCGATTACTTTGGACTTGTCATTTATTCATACTCTTTGTTTGAATTTTAATTTGAAGGTATATTATATTAACTAACCACAGTACATCTTCATCTTCTTTTTTTTTTTTTTTCTTTTTGTGGATTATTACTTATTTTGAAATATATTTTAGGAACTAATTATCCCTTTTGGTATCTTTTTTTATTTCCAAGCATTTTGTCAGTAACTTACTAGATGGAGATGTGAACTAAATATTGAATGCCTGGAGTTATCATATGTCGAATTTGACGATGATTATGAGTTTTCTTCATTCATTCATTCATTACGAATATGCCTAAAATTACGCAAGCTTGATATAATGAGTTTATGGATAATCTTCATTTTCATTGATAAATTATTTAATGAAATTTTAGTTGTTTATATTATTGTTTCACATTACTTAATACAAGGTTATACTAGTGTAAAAGATGAATTGATTGACACTTTTTTTTTTTTTGAATTTTAATACAAGAATCTCTAACTCTATACTTTGGGAGGGACTTCTTAGTGTGGCTAAAGTGCTTAAAATGTTTCACACTTTCAAACTTAGATCATTCAATGGGTCGAGGTCAGAATTGCTATTCATCAAGATGCTGCTTGCTTGCTTTCCCACACTTGAGAAGGTTGTCATTATTCGTCGAGTGAAGTTTGACTGCAATGAGGAGTTTAAAATCATGCAAAATCTTTTATATTTTCTTCGTATATCAAAGAAAGTAAAAATCATTTACATATAAGTATCTTATTATATTTTTATTAAATTGAATTTATGCATCTCCTTGATTAATTCGCGCTCTCTAAATTTAATAATGTGTAATGAACTAATGGTTAGCTCGAGTATCATTACTAGTTGAACCTACTAGCACACAATCCTTTTTTTGGTTTTGAATTAATCTTTTGGTGAGCTATCTACAAATATGCCGAAAAACAATGAAGATATTTTGTTTGTTTTATTTTTAAAGGAAAAACATAGATTAAATTAAATAGAGCAAGTTCCAGAATGTGAACAAGTGAAACAAGCAGCTAGACTTAGATTGGAAAAATGTCTAGCTATTTCCCTAATGTTATTTGTAATAAGATGAAATGATGACAACAAGTGCAGCCGTTAACAACTTTGATTGAATCAGTCTCCACTTGTATGCAATCTTCATTAAGAACAAATTAAATAATCCATTCCAGTCTCTAAGCACGTAGCCAAAGCCCATTCTTCTGTTATTGAAATCCAGTGCTGCGTCGACATTCTGCTTCTTCCATCTTTCAATTTGTTGAGTTATGGTCGAAGACTGCCTCCCATCGGCATTAACAGTCTGCCACTCATGGAGAAAAGGTTGTGCTCCCCTAGGCCCTAACAACAGCAAAATCTGGAATGGTAACATGGTTCCAAAATTTTTCATTTCTGGCTTCCCACAACTTCCAGCAGGCCGAGATCAACAAGCAAAGTTCATTATCAGAGAGGGACTTAAAATTCAAATCCAATATAATGCTATCCCAACAATGTCTGGCGAGTGGGCATCTCACAAATAGATGAAAAGTTGTTTCATCTTATGCACTACGCAGTTGACAAATTGAAGTAATCTGAACTACTCGTTTAATCGTCAAGAGATCAGCAGTAGGTAGGGCTGCTGAACAGAGTTGCTAGAAGAAAGATTTTGGCCCGGTTTGGTAAATGGTTGTTAGTTGTTAGCTGATTGGGTTAATTAGATGGTATAACTAATTGATAACATTAGTTGATTGTAGAAAGGTGTTTGGCAACTTAATTGTTAGCTGATAGCTGTTTGGTAAATTTTCTTTTTCTCAAAAAGCTAATTGCAAAAGTTGCTTTGAACAGCTTTTTGAATTTTAGCATTTTGGAGTTGATTTTTTAACCAAGTCAAACAATTAATAGTGGTCAAATAAACTAAAATTGACTGATAGGCTAATATTTTACCTTTATCCTTAGAGGTAGATTCATCTTCCACATTTTAGTTCAAAATGGGACTTGATCAGTATGCATATATAGTTCCTTGTAATTTCTTATAACAGCTTCGTACTGAATAAACCCCTTTCTCATCTTCCATCCAAATAATGTTGTCCATAGGTTTACAATCAGGGAATGTTCTTGATCAACTTCACATCTTCTTGAACAAACAGATCTTCCAAAATTTCATCATCCCAATCTGTTTTGGCCATATTGAGCAAAGATTCCACTTTAGCCTCCCTAAAATAATATGTCATTGGAGTTTGAATAGAAGGAGATTCATTATTAGGAAGCCAAGGTTGCCCCCAAACTCCAACGGAAGCACCAAGCACCACCCCCCACTCTCCATCTATGACCACTTCTTAACACACTTTGGGACTCCAGAATACTCCGCCAGATGAAGGATGGATTTCCACCAATTTTAGCCTAAAAAAAAGTCTCTAGGGAAGTATCTAGCTTCACTGCTGGAAATTTGCCATTTTCCGACCACCAAAAAGTGGTCGGAAATGGCCTTAATTAGGTCGGAAATGCCTGTTCCGACCTCTTTTCCGACCAATTTGGGTATCCGGAAAAATCCCCCTAGCTATGTCCGACCTCCAGAGAGAGTGGTCGGAAATAGTGACCACTTTTCTAAGGCTGTCGGAAAAATTGGCCAGGAGAGTCAGGCTCGTCCAGATTTTCCGATCACCTGTGATCGGAAATTTCGACCACTTTGGTGGACGGAAAATTGGACGTAGTCAATAAAAAAAAATCATTTCACTACAGAGGATCCCTCCGTAATGAAATGAATATATATATATATATATATATATATATATATATATATATATATATATATATTGTTGCAAGCTGGTAAGATATTTGCTGAAAAACATATAGACATTTCATACACTTCAGGTACTGTTTTCATGAATAGACAAAAACTATGATACATGGATGCAATTCCAACAGTCAAATACTATAAGCCTTCAAATCTAGTACTCCCCAGTCAAATACTATAAGCCTTCAAATCTAGTACTCCATAAGTAATTTCTTTTGTGTTTTTCCCTGTAAATTTCATCATGAAATAACATATAGTACTACTGTAAGAGTACAAGATAGAAGGAATCATTGCCCCAACATTGTTGTGCTCCCAAAGCTTGTGAACACCATAATCAACCGCCTGCAATGATGAATTTTTTTTAAGAAAAGTGAGTTCAACACCTTAAATATTGGATGCAACATCATCTGGCAATATTCCACACGATGAAGTCGAGTAAGTGTTTAGCAAAGAATTGTCCACATAATGACCAATGGAACCCTGTGCATTGCTGTGTATAGATTGAAACAACAATCTTGTAGCACAATTCTTCTGCCAGTTAACCATTACAGGTATCCAGTTAGAAATCAACAATTTAACCAATCAGCAATCTTTACATCAAACCCAATCAGGCTAACAATGGAGAAATTGAAATATGGTTGTAATATACACATAGAAACTCATATAAGAATAAGAACAAGCAGATAAAGAGTGTCTGAACTCAAGCTTTACTAGGAGGGAGGTAAGATTGTTAAAAGTAATGAATAACAAGGATAGAATATTTGAAAAATTCTACAAAGAGTTCAACCCTATGCTCCATATTAGACAAGTTTCAACATCTGCTCCTATCAGGAAAAGACTGTCTTTGGGGAGTTCAGAACCACAATCCATGGATATACAAACAGAAAGTATATATATTGGTCAATTGATTCAATTCCAAAAAAAGTCTTTATTTGTAAGAACCTAGTTAACCACTAACCCAAAACAGGAGAAAAGAAGAACTAAATGAGTAAACATGGAACATTTAAAAAAAAAAAAAATACAGTAAGAGAAAGACTAAGCTACATACCAGATTGAAAATTTCTGGTGCTACCCAGATTCCAATGGAAAAATCTAGGTATAGGAGGCCGCATATTGGATAGCTGAAAAATCTGGATATTTGATTGGCCTTGTTCGTCTCCAGCAGTCTCTTTCAAAGAGTCCTGCACATTGAGAAAGTATAATAGTTCAAAATAAGGCCGATATACAGATTAAGTAATTCACACATGGCAAACTACTGATCTAGGCTTAGCAAAAGATGATATGTGCATACACAAAAAGGCTTTGAACTTTTAAAGAATGCATCAACCTTAACATATAGTCCCTAGAAATGAATCTATAGTAGCACTTGGTGATTAGAAATAAATTGACAAAACCATAACAGAATAATAGAGGAAATTTGTCAAGAACAGATAAGTACTTGAAACAAACACAAATCTAAGAACACTACTCTAAATTGACCTCATAAGATGTAAGAGAATGTGAAAAATCAATAATAATATGTTTTCTAAACATTGCTTAGAGAAATTACTTCTCTGATTTACTTATAAAAAACAAATCATATAAAATAAACTAGTTCATTCACTAAAACTTAAAGGTATTTAATCTTTAACCAATACCATAAAATCTTTGCAAAAATTAAGTCATTCGTAATGAACACAATTACAATGTTAGCTTCTTCAATAAATGAAATCAACAAAAATAACACAACACTTTCCAAATCTCCCAGATCTAGGGTTTCATATGTAGAGAGCCAGAGACGTGAGAGAATGAGCAATTGAAACTATGAGAGTATGAGTCTTTGAAAGTGAGAGATGTCAAAGGGGACTTACCGAGTTACCAGGAGCGAGAGCTTGAGAGGGGTGAGACCATTAGAGCCGAGAGCGTGGAAAGTCGGAGAGCCGGAGTCCTGCGGAGAAGACGAGAGCTGGAGACTAGTGGTTGTCGCCTGTCTGTGAGCAGTAGTCTCCCAAGACACAATGTGAACTTTGTTCAACCAGTTTGTCCCCCATCACTCCATCAGTATGTATAATTGTTGAGAGATTAGATTCAGAGCAACCTTCCACTATGAGAATCAAAAATAGAAAACCAGTACCTGTATTGCTTGCTCTGAGGTGCATCTCTCTTAGTTGTAAGAGACTCTTCCCGACATCTAACATGTGACACACTACAACAAGAAAATTTGAACACTAACTGCATGGAGAAAACAAAATAGTGAAATACCTTTGAAATTCTTAGGTTACAAGAGTCTTCTCGTCTTCAGCAAGCAAAGGAGCGATAACCTGTCAGATAAAAGGGATAATCAAGAAACATTGTAAAAATGGGGCGGGTGGTTTTCACAAGCAAAAACAAGATCAGAAAATTAACTTCAGTATTACTTACACTAAGACACCTGAATGGATCATATTGAGAGTTGAGACAACACTATAGTCAAACAGTGTTTTGCTTCACTTGCAACCTTGATCAACATCTTGGAACCATAAGAATTATGTCTAAAAATAAAAAGAAATTAATATGAATAATAGCAATGCAGATGCTTACTTTAGAAGCACCATCCTTGGTAACATTAAGCAATTTTTCAATTATAATCTCAATGGAATCCTCCATATAATCTTTCTGCAAAGAATACAAATGAATTGTTATTTTCAACCAGAAAAAAAGTCAGAGAACTGAACTGCAGGTTAGGATAAAGAAACAAGAGGGGCATTTCAACTAGGAAAAGAGACCTGGTTCTTCAACAATTCAACAATCATAGACAGATCAAGTCCCCTTATTGATGGCTCATAATCATGTAGAACCTCAAGTGCTACTGTCAAAATTTGATTAAAGTACTACGAAATAGCAAAGGTTACAGGTTGATTTACCATCCAAATGCATATGTTATCCATTTCTAAGTAAAAAGTAATAGTTAAATTAAAAATTGTATATTAAAAACAATTTCTGCCACCAAAGAGAGGCCCGAGAGGATGTGAATTTAGTCAGAAGAAACATTTATCACAAATATTACCTAAAGAAATTTGTCATTAGAAATTGATCTGATTGTGTGATGTTAAGCAGCCAGGATTGATTTTAATTAGCAATAATACCTTATTCGACATAGATTGATCATTAGCAACAGAAACTTCAACCAACTGTTGGAGTGCAACGTGCTTGTTTTCTGCCTCAGTCACCGAAGAAATCTAGAAACTCGAAGCCTCGTAGGTAGATCTAGGGTTTCCTATGTATAGAGCCAGAGAGGTTAAAGAATGAGTGGTAGAGCTTGAGACTATGAGTATGAGTAGATGAGGTTAGAGGGACTTACCGGAGACGGAGACACGGCTGTGAGCGGCAGCCTCCGGAGAATCGGAGATGATGGCTTGGTGAAGTCGTGAGGAGTGGGACTATGGGAGAGATAAGCTGCGCCGATGAGGGCATGAGGCTGAATGCCTGAATCCTAACATTAAGCTCTTATTTATTAATATATATAAGTATTTAAAAAAAAAACAATTTAAACAATTTTAAATGACCGAAAGTTTTAAAAAAAAATGACGGAAAAATATTTCCGACAACATATACTTTGTAGTCGGTACTTCCGACCACTCTTGAAAGGTAGTCGGTATATTCGATCCTTTTTCTGTCTGACCCAATGCCTTGACGGAAAAATGAAAAAATGTTACTTTTTCCGACCATTTATATTGGTGGTCGGAAAGTGGTCAGAAAAGTGAAAATTTCCAGCAGTGCTTTATAGGCTCTGGCCATGAGGGAATCGGGATACTGAATGAGCCTCCAAGCTTGTTTAGATATTTTGTTGTGTTTTATAAAAATATAAGAATTGTTTTTTTCAATAATGATATAATGTCATCACTCCACCAAGATGAATTGTGTGGAATGCAATAGAAGAAAATGCAAAGACATGTACATGAAAAGGTTATAATACATCATAATATATTGCTTCAATTCCCCTATTTATATGTTGCGTAAAGACTGTGTAACGGCACAAAACTCTGAACTTTAAATCTAGTATGACAGTAGTGCAGAAACTCGCCCATTTTAATACTATTTTAATGGAGTAATATTCTAGTTCCTCCAAACGGTACATTTCTGTGCACAATGAGTTCAACACAAACTCAAACCCCTAGTCTAATGTTTGTGAGAAAACTCAAACCTTCACTATGCCGCTTGAAGGAATTGAAGTTCCATTAAACCAACGCCGTAGGGACACCAAATCCAATATTATATTTGGTAATCAAACAATTTAGATTTAAGTTCAACTTTTATACTACTTGAAGTATCATTCTTAATCTGTACATGTTTTGAAAAAAAAAAAGAAGAAAAGAGAGAGAGAATATTTTAACTAGAATTCCCCTCACATGATATCCATTCCATAAAAGGGAAGAACCCTTCATCTTTCCCCTCTCCCTACCAAAATTACCCTTCTTTCCTTCATCCAACTACACGTACAATGGGAGTACTTAAATACTCGGTAACATAGAAGATACTAGGATATGTTAGGAACAAGTGTATTTAGATTTTGATGATACCAAACTAACTAGGAATGTATGTTAGATCTAAATAGTCTAACTATAATGAACAATAGTATACGAGAAATCTGACCTCGTATAAGAGCGAAAGGTAGCCGTGTAGATCTCCAGCCACAGTTGATGTTCCTGTTGTGTTGCCTCTTAACGGTAGACCGTTAGCACATTCAGTTACGGTACTCATACTGCTTAGTAGACACCAATACACCATCTAGGGTTCTGAGTCAGGTATGACCCCTCTTTTACTCTCGTTATTTTGAATCTTTCGTGATAAAGGAAAGTAATCACAACTCACAATGTGATTCGTGCTTAGTAGCACATTTACACAAATCAGAGTTGTATTTAGTGAATTAGGTCTACATGAAGAAGAAAATATCAAGAGAAGGCCGAGAGAATAACTAAGACCGAAAGATGGAAGGGTCTAACTCTCGTGTAAACAACAAATGATAAGGAAATCATTTGGCTTGAAGAGAAAAACGAAAGATGAGGAAAATCTTTCGTTAACTGATCTCGAGACTAAAAGTCTAAGCCAGACTTGAATAGACAACTTCAACATGAAAACATAGAAAAATATTTGTCTATGTCTCACAGCTGGGCAATCATCCTAGACAAAAGGCAGGAGTCCTAGGAATGAAATTTTCAAATACCAATGAGCATTAAATGATTTGTACCTTTGTCAGTGAGAAATGACAAAAAGACAAGCAAATTTTTGTGTCAACAGCTACACAGTACAGCCGCATTAAATGCTTCGAGCCCAATGGATATTACACACTGGTTAATATGTTTGAAATTCTCATCTCCCTCCAACGGATGGATTTTCCTCACCTATAAATACCCCTCTTCACCACTGAAGAAGGTGCTGGTTTTTCACTCAATCTTTATCTACAAAAGCTTTGTTAACAAGTATAATCCAAAAGCTTTCAAAACCAGTGTGTTGTTGTGAAGTTTTTCAAAGAGATCATCTAGACTTCAAGCTTTCACAACACAAGGAAATCTTGCAATTTATATTTGAAGATTCAAGCATTATCAAGTCAAGATTTCACAAGTTGGGGAACTTCATCAAATCTTTCCAACCCTCAACTCTGAAGAAGACGTTGATAGAGGCGAAGTAAACTTGAGGAGTTGAAAAACCTACACAAGTAGCTATCCGGCTTAGTGATCAAGGAAGCTAGCTTGTTTAGTTTGTACTATGAGTGATAGTGCAAACCCTTTCACAAGTTGTGGAAGAAGAGTGGAGTAGGCTTTGTTAATAGCAGAACCACTATAAACATCCCTCTCTTACTTTATCTTTACCTTCGGTTATTTATCTTCACTGCATTGAATACATATTGACCAAACCCTAATTTTCACATAAAAAATGTGCAAAGAACACTCTAAAACGAATTCACATTTTTCCGATGTGCACTACTACCCGAAAGTTACTTTCAAAAATTCGAGTAGAGTCTATTCACCCCCCCCCCCCCCCCCCCCAAGACTCTCTTTAGACCCTATTGCGGGACCAACAAGTGGTATCGGAGCGGTTACCTTGAACGGTAAACGTTTCGCTTTTACTGCCTGGTAGATCTCTTTTCAAAAACTCTTAGAAAATTCTCAATTTTCTCTTTGCACATTTTTCATAAAAATGGAAAAGGATTATGGTAATAGATCTAGGCCTCTTGCTTTCAACCTGTCTAAGTTTGATGATTGGAAAGTAAAAATGCAGGCACACCTTTCGGCTATTCACGACGAAATGTGGGATGTCATAAAAGATAGACCTATCTTGATAACAATGATCAACATGCAAGCAGCAGCTCAAGGAGCAGATCCCGAAGTGTTGATTCCAAAGCCTAAGTCTCAACTCACCTCAGAGGAGAAAACAAGAGCTAACCTTGATAATGTTGCACGTGATATCCTATACAAATCCCTGGATGATTCACTGTTCCCAAGAGTGCGAAAGTGCAAAATAGCAAAAGAAATATGGGACACTCTCATGGATCTAGGCAAGGGAGATGAACAAGAAAATGATAACAAGCTGACCATGGCCATGAAAAGATTCGAAGACTTCAAAATGCTTCCAAATGAAATAGTCACTGAATGGAGCTTAGGTGCACGAAACTTCTTGGAGAGATCTCAGATCTTGGAAAGGAACCATCTTTGAAGGAAATCAACCTAAAGGTCCTTCGTGGTCTACCAAAAGCTTGTGACATGAAAGTCACTGCAATGAGAGATCACCGAGATTTGAAAACTACGCAAACGACAAAAATCTTCAGCGATCTCAAAGCCTATGAATTCAAACAATCGAAATGCTTGTTGTAAAAATGCAAAAAGGTTTAGAGTTGTACGCATTGGGATTGAACGATAAGATATGGTTTATACAATTTGAATGCTAACTTGCAGTTGTTATATCATGCACCAGGGCGCACAATGCATTGTGCACCTTAAAAATCCCATGTTTCGTATGTACATAATTGTATAATAGAATATACATAAACTCCTAACATAATACACATAATTTTAACATAATACATAATACACATAAACTCTTAACATAATGTATACCCAAAAAAAAAAAAAAAAACTCTTAACATAATACATATGAACTCTTAACATAGTACACAGAAACTCTTAACATACATAAACTCTTAACATAATACACATATACTCTTAGGGTGCACAACGCATTGTGCACCCTGGTGCACGATATAATTTGCCGCTAACTTGCTACTCATTTATTAGTATTGAATTAATATTTTAGAAACTTAGGATCCGTTTACTAACAGAAAACTGTTCTATGTTTTCTGTTTTCTAATTTTTCAGTTTTCATCATCTGTTTTCTGTTTACTAACACTTATTTTTTTCAAACCTATTTTTTTAGAGTAACGTTATAAAATTAACACAAGTTTAATTTCGAATGATTTTTAAATCTTATATTTAAAATATTTTAACATATGTTTGGTTTAAATGGAATAAATTAATTTTTTTTTTTTTTTTTACTTTTAAGTCTAATATATGTAAGATTTTTACATTTGATAAGTGAACAAAATTTATATATGTATATAACATAATAACTAAAAAATATATCCGAACCAATAACCTACTAAATTCACCTAAAATTTAGTTTAGATAATATTAATATTTTTTGAGCTAATATTCATTTTTTTTTGGATATATTCATTGGAATGACATGTATATGAATATATAACTTTTACTTTGAATTCTAATATATGTGAAATTCAATATCCAATATCTGGATCGGACTTGTATTATGATGTAACATAATTAAAAATATTCGAACTAATAATCTATTGAGTTCAATCAAAATCTAAAACATTATATAGAGTTTAATTCGTAATTTTGATAATGTAAATAATGTCTAACTTTGAAGTGTAAGCAAATAAGTTATTTTTAAATAAGTAAAAGTAAGTAGAAAAGATACTCCCTCCGTCCCATTTTATGTGCCCGGGTCAATTAACGAGGCTTGACTGAAGTTATTTTTAATCAAAATTTTCATAATATTAAATTTAGTATTAGTATACAAAAATTATATATTTAGAAACTACACTAAAAGTACTATTAAACACAAAAAATTAAATTTAAAAATAAGTAAAAAATATTAAAGAAAATATACAAAGAAGAAAATGTTGGTTTGACCAATGAATAGTAAATAGGATAGAAAAAATGGGAAAGGGGGAATAGAAGATAGTGATAAGTAAAATAAGATAATAATGAATGTAATCATAGTAATGTGGTTATAGTGACATATAAGTAAATAGATGATAGATGATTCTGTATTCTATTTTTTAGTTTCCAGAAACTTCCAGTTAGTAAACGACCCCTTAGTATTTAAGCAATATAATTTGAATTGGGATTTTGAATTATTGCTCTTTTTTTTTTTTAGGAAGAATTATTGTTCTTATTTCTACTTTGATT